CTCTGAATTTTACAAAAAGTGTGATATGACAAGATTATTTTCTGGTCAATCTATGTGGTGGTCTAAATTACCTCTGTACCTGGACAACATCCTAATTTTTCAATAGATACAGGACATTTTACAATATTGCTTCAATGAACAGATTTTCCGTGTCTTTAGTTTTTATTTCAGCATTCTATTCTAATAAAAATGTTATTCTTTGGTCTCTCAGTCATGTCCTAGAGGTCATCATAATTTTTTCTTTATTCCTCTCTGAAAGAAATAACTCATTAAGCTTGTCTTTGATGCCCTGGTATTTTATCTTTCAGTTAATTTAGTCTGTTGGTGATGCTTTCTCCTGAATTTTAAAAAATTTATTTGCAAAGTTTTCCAAAATTTTCATTTTTAGAAGTTCTCTATTATCATTCATTTCCTATATTGTTTTGATTATTTCCTTCAGCTGTCTATCTTTTGGAAATTGCAATCCTTTTAGCGTTAACTCTTGAATGGTTTCTTCAGCACTTTACCTAATTTAAACCTGTTTAGATTCAGTTGCTGACATGTTATGATCTTTTGAGAAAGTTTTGTTTCCTCACATTCTTGTGTTTCATTGTTGTAGTTTGTGGGTCTGTGAGAGTGAATGTATTTTACACATTAATGTGAGGATTTGTATAGTAAGCATCCTTCTACAGAGGGCTTAATCACCAGCACTGGTCAGAGTGCAGAAAATAAACCACAGTAACAATACCAGAGGCAACCTCCCACAATAATCATAATGGGAATAATGAAATATTGGACAGGAGGTGGTGATGCATGCCTTTAATCCCAGCACTTGAGATGCAGAGTCAGCCATATCTGTGAGTTCAAGACCAGTCTGGTCTACAGAGTGAGTTCCACCCAGGACAGCTAAGGTTACAAAGAGAAGTCCTGTCTCAAAAAAAAAAAAAAAATGTGTAGCAAGAGAGGTTATAAAAGAGAAAAGTAGAGAAAGAGGAAAAGAGCAGAGCAGGAGATTAAAAATATAGTTACATAGTTTAAAAAATGTAAATAAAAATAAATAAACCCTATACCTACCATCCTGATGCTTGGAAAGTGAGGCAGGAGGATCACAAATTTGTGGCAAGTCTGAACCATCCAAAGAGAACCTGCCTTATAGTCAAGGGATTTTCAAAAGATCAAAAACTTTTTTAAATCTTAAAAATAATGTACTATATGAAAATTACACATGGCATTTTAGTATCTGGAAGACAGAGACCTGGACGAGCCTCTCTCTTGATGCTCTCATAGAATTTGCCAGGTCTGGGGCATCGGGGTCATACTTGGTGTGTGCCGTCCCTCTCTGCTGCCACCTTCCCGGCTGGTGCTGTACACAGGACACAGGTGCCTTAAGCACAGAGCATCATTCACTCTAAGACTGCCAGTCTTTGTATGTTCTTTGCCACTGCTAGTCCCAGAGGTCATGTGGCCTGTAGTCCAGGTAGACACTTCCGTTTGTGGGTTTGTCTAAACAAAACCTTGTCTACAGGATGCTCTGGGGGAAGTGGGGATCCCAAACAGAGCATGGAGTTCCACAATGGAGAGGGGTCCTGGGAGCTGAGCTATGTCCCTAAGCATTTTCCGATCCTATCCAGCAGCAATCCACCATGCAATAAGCAAGAAGCTGTGGAAATGGAGTCATCCTTTCACTGGGGTTCTGAGTTCTCAGCCCATGTCTGCTGCACACAAATTGCAGCATGAGGCAGTTTCAGAAACCGAAGAATCTTCCAGCGACCTGCTCAGAACTCTCAGGCTCAGCAGTCATCCACAGAAGCCATGTCATTCCTGGTACAGGAGGCAGGGCTGCCTGTCCTCAGGCCTCCACAGTCTGAGTTATGAGTGTGTCTGTCAGTCACTCCCACCTGCACTACTGTCCCTCATGGCTGCCCACCACCCAGCCCATCCCAGGGCACCACGACATGTGCTTGATGGTTTTGGATTCCCATCACAGCTCAAACTCAGAGAACAGAAGCTCCTGGTTCTAGCACTGTGAGAGACCGAGTGTGCAGAGCTCAGGCTGTGCCCATCTGTGTTCCTTTGTATTGTATAGGACAGTAGTTTTCAGAGTGTGCCTTGCCCTGGGTGACTCCATTTTATACAGCAGTGGTTTGCTTCATTTTGAAAGCAAATGCTGAGGCAAAATAAATCCGTACCTTATGTGTGCAAGTGTCCAGCAAGATAGTAAGACATAGATTGATAAATAACATTAATACAAATAAACTATTCCCACCTATAAACATATCAAACCAGGAACATTTAGACCCATGATATTTGAAGATCTTGGACAAGAAACCAAGCTTGTGTGCTTGTCCAGAACACAAGAGCAATGAGCGCTGTCCTGCCCTCACTTGGATCACACCCACTGAGTCATCATCAGGTCACCTGATGTGTGCATCACTAGATACAAGGCAACAGACTCTCAACTCTGACCCCAGGACTTCTGCTCACCATGACCAGCCATAAGTGAAGTGGCTCACTTGAGCTCCCATTTGTTCAGACTTCTTATGCCTGGTTTGTCTGAATTCCCAAAGCCTCATCAGCCCTCTGGACCTCAAGGCACAGGGTTTAGAGCATGCCATTGTTCTGAGGATCCAGGTTTGCCTGGTGACAGATTGCTTATGGTTTCCCCAGGAGTAACAGGGCTTCTGGCAGATGTGTTTAGCAGGTTTTGTTTTCCTGCCTTTCCTGGAGTCGCCCTGTACTTTTGAGGTTTTATGTGCCCATGGCAAGAGGGAAGGCAGGAGGGGCTGGGCTGGCTCCAGTGCTGCTGTCCCTCAGCCCTGGCTGCTCTGGTTGGTGTCATCAGAGCTCTTCACACAGCTGCCTCCCACTCTGTCTGCTTTAAGGTTGCTCCTGGAGGAGGCTTGCCTGGGCGGCTGGTCCCTCACAGGCGGGAGCTCCCCACCAAGATGTCAGCTCTTAGAAATAAAACCAGCTGTGTTGAAGATGGTATTTTAAGCTGTTTGACAAGCTCAGTTCACCAAAGGTCTTACTTTAAAGAAGACATTAATAACTTGTGAAATGAGACATTTGTATTTCATTTGTATTATTTTTCCTTGAAAGTTTTAAGCTGCTTAACTACTTATTTGGTGTCCCTAATCATAGTCATTTTAAAATCTAAGTCTTCCTAGAATTGTAATTATTTTCCTTTTTTAAGTAAATGTGTCTATTGCTGTGTGTCCACGTGCCAGGACACCCATGTGGAGGTGAGAGGACAGCTCTGTGGAGTCAGTTCTCTCCTCCACCTTGGCATGGGTCCACAGATGGAGCTGTGTCACCAGCTCGTCCAGCTGCAGCCTGCAGAGCGCTTCCCCATGAGCTATCTCGCTGACCCTTCTTAGTATTTTCTAGTTGCTTCTTTAAAAAACCGTGTTGAGATGAATGGTTTCTGTTTCAGAAGACGTGTTAAAAACATTACAGCTCTTCGCTAAGGAAGCACGGGGAATTTCCACTGAGAGAAACATGCTTGCATCAGTCCCGGATTGTGGAATTTCCCTTAGGTGGTGCCTCAGGTTTACTGTAGTTTTTTTTTTTTTTTTTTCCCTGTGCTGAGGACACTGGAGAGGGGTTCCAGGAAAAGAAAATGTGAAAGCTCTCCACAGTGGGAGGACTGCTGTCCCTCAGCCAGCATCGTGGCTAAGTTAATAAGTTAACAGAGCTTTGGAGTACTTTACTTTCAGTTTTATTTTTGCTACGGCATGTGATTTTTTTTCAGTGTGTGTGTGTGTGTGTGTGTGTGTGTGTGTGTGTGTGTGTGTGTGTGTGTGTGTGTGTGGTGGAAGTGGGTCGGCTTATAAAAAGAGGAGAAGAGGAAGCCAGAGGTAGGAAAGCAGAGTCGAGCCCGAGGCAGCCGAGAACTGCTCTTGCAGCTGTGGTATGGGAAGCAGGGATATTTACTTTTTCTTCCTTTCAGGAGCAACTTAGTCTGGAACCTGGACTTGGTTTTCAAAGTGGCGGCTGAGGGAAGGTTGAGAGAGGCAGGTTTGTGTTGTCTGGTCTGCAGGGGTCTAGGGCTGGCTTTAGGTCTGTGAAGCTCAGTTTCTTTCCTTTAATAAGTGACAGATGCAAAGTGGCAGCCTGACAGTCCAGGCTCCCCTGCTCTGGCAGCTTCAACTCAGGCTACAGGCAAGTGCTGTGGGAACAGCCCTGGGAGGGAGCCTGCCTGCCTTAGCTGGGACCACAGACACAGTGTCCCTGGCCAGGCTCACAGGCAACTGCAGTCAGAAGAGCATCTTGTCTGTGTAGGAATCAAATGAGAAAATTCCAGCACAAGGGCTTGGCAAATACCAATTTAAAATAAATTTAGTTTCTATCTCACTAACTTTTCTTAAGCATAAGTAGATAGTCAGAATCCTCTTCGTTGATGTTTAGGGTGTATGAGATTTATAAACCATATAAGATTCTATGCATTTTCATGCTATGATCTTATTCTCGTATATGGGACTAAGTTGCAGAGAACCTGTGACGATCCCTGTTACCTAAAATCTCAGGATTCTGCACATTCTCCTTCCTTGGCATAATGTCCTCAGGCTCATCCGTGTTGCAGTTTGAAGTAGAGTTTTATTCCTTTCTCTGGCTGAATAATATTCTATCGTGTGGGCTATCGCACTGTGTTAATCTACACATCTGTAGATGACCTGTTGATGAGAGATTGGGTTATTTCCATATTTTGGTGTTGTGAATATGACTGCCATGATCATTGCTGCTCAAAGGTCTGTTCAAGCCCTTATCTGTGTGTTGCATGTAATCACAGCAGAGTTCTCGGATCAAATGTTTTATTCATTTATAAGACACCAAGTCTATTCTCCATGAGGTGTTATAATTCTCTGTTCTTAGCTGCAGTACACACACACACACACACACACACACACACACACACACACACACACATATATATATATATATATATATATATATATTAGTTTTTTAAAATGTGGTTCACATTTATTTGTTTTTGTTTTGTGTAGTCATTGTCCTGGTGGGTATGAAGTGACATCTTGTGGTTTTGAGTGTTATTTCCTCAGTGTTTCCTAAAGCCTCTTATAATGCAGACTGCATTTGAAAGGTTATGAGCAACGAAACCAAGTAAGTCTTAAAGTAACCTCACTCTTGCTTAAACTGCAAACAGGAGCAAAACCAAGCAAGTGATTTCAGGTAAATATGTGTGTTAGCCAGAAGCAAGACTCAACCTCAGTGAAGTATAAGAAGCCAGACCACAGGAGATCACGTGACTGTAGACTTTTACACCAGGTCCCCAGTCTTCCAAGACAGAACTTGAGTAACTGAAGCCTCTTCATTTTGCTCCCACGTTTTCCTAATAGAGCTGACTGACGTGTCATCACGGGAGCATAGACACTCCATCTTTCAGTCCGGTACTTCCCAGTTTGTACAGTGCATCTTTTTCAAATAAATTCTTCAACATTTTAGAGTTTTCTTTTACAGTGATTAGCAAACTGAATGTTTTCCCCTGTGCTTATGGTCATTTGTAAACCTTCTTTGGAGAAATGCCTAATCCAGTGTTTTGCCCATTTTGAAATTGAGTTGTCTATGGTGAATTGTAGATGTTCTTTGTTTAAGATAACCTTTTTGAATTTGTTTAACCTTATATCACATATGTAATTTACATTATTCATCACCCATTCTTGGGTTGCCTTTCTATACTCTTTTTATAAATCATTTTATGCACAAAAGTCCTTAATTTTACAAAGTGGATTTTATCTATTTATTCACTCATGTTGAGATTTTGGTATCATATTCAAGAAATAATCCCTACTTGAAATCCAAGTTAGGTAAAACAGAGACCAGGTTAGCCCCAGGTTAGCCTGTTGCAATTAAGGTCTGCTTTCCTTCCTGCAGACAGGATCTGTGTCTGGTTGGGGTTAGGGCTAGGCAGTGAAAAGTCAAGTAAACACACACGTAATTCACACTGTTTATTCATTTGGACATCTCAGTGTTTGTGTAATTCACGGCTGCCTTTCAAAGCTTCTATGCATTTTCAGCCATTTTAAAATCTATTCACAGAAGAAACAAGGTCTTAGAAACCTCTGGTCTGCCATTTTGCTGAGTCGTTAAGGTTTTGGAAACTGACTTATGTTATTGGCAGTGTGCAGTAATCTGTAACTAGTAGGTACTTACAGATTGTGGGAGGTCACATGCTAAAGGCGTTCATTAAAAGGCTTAGCATATTGTAAGACCTTAATGAAGGTAACTGTTGTTTGGGTTTTATCACACTGAAGTAAAACTTTATAGATGATGGCAGCCCATGTCTTACCAAAAGCTTCTTGAGAACTTTGGAAGAATGATGGAGAAAGAGGAGAACGTCCTATGTGTCTATTTGCTGCCAATAGAAATGTACAAATGTCATCAGTCCTAATCCACCTAGGGTTGGAGTAACACTGAGGTGGAGACTAACTTTGTATTCTTCTTGCAGATTCCTCTAGCTTGGCAAGTGGCTATGGCCAGACCAGAAATGATGGCTCCCATTTGTCTGGTGGAAAACTTCAAGGAGCAGCTGTCTGTGAACCAGAAAGCCATCAAGATCCTGGACACTATTTCGCAGCCAGTGGTAGTCGTGGCTATTGTTGGATTGTATCGAACAGGGAAGTCCTACCTGATGAACCGTTTGGCAGGACAGAATCACGGTGAGAAGCATGCTGGGTACCAGCCAAAGGTTTGACTGTCTTTGTCAAACTTTGTCTGATCTTAATTCTTATTCCCAGTTAGAACAAAGGAAAGTGAAACTCCTGTCAGCAAAGCCATCCTCTCATGCTAATGTGCATGACTAATTACTGCTCCATAATAACCGGTTCCTGTATTCTTTCCTTCCACTCCACTAAAGGACAACTGTCTTAGGAGGCCTCGAGACAGGGCCTCTCTGATGCCCTAAGGATTGGGATCCTGTGTGTCAGTCTCTGGTCTCATACAGCAGGCTTCCTTTCTCAATAAAATATTTCCATCAGGATAGAAAGGACTTTGACTACTTAAGACTTTAAAAATCATGGGTAGGGCTGGATAGATGGTCTAGTGGTTAAGAGCACTTGCTGCTCTTAGACAGGATTTGGTTCCCAGAAGCCACGTGGTGACTCAAAATTCTCTCTAACTCCAACTCCAGAGGATCTGATGCTGTTATTCGGCCTTTATGCGCACCAGACATGCACACGGTGCACTTACATACGTGCAGGCAAAATCTGATGATATTCATGAAATGAAATAAGGAAATCTTAAAAATTATTTATTTAGAAATAAATAAATACCAAAAAAAAACTTTAAAAAGACTTTATATCCTTTTATAGCTGCGCTTTTGTTTTTGCCACTTTTCTTTAATAACTTTGAACACAAAAACTATTATAACAATTTCCTTTTTCTAGGTTTTTTTTTCCTTCTTGCATGTCTCCGACTTGGAAACCATTTCCCACAATTCGTGAAAAGTGGTTTTTTTTAGGCAATCTTGTTGGTTGGCCTGGTTCTAGCTATGTAGTCCCAGCTGGTCTCAGACTAATGGCAATTCTCCTGCCTCTGTCTCCTGCCTACAGGGATTACAGGTGTGTGTACAACAGTGGCTGGCTCAAAACACTCTCACTGCAGCTACCAGGGAGCTCCATGCTTTCTGATTCCTGGATGCCTCTTTGCATTTGGAGCCCTGGGTGACCTCATTCTCATGTTAAATGTCCCCTCTAGTTTGAAATAGAGGGCTATAAACTAAGGCACTTTTGAGGAAAGATGAAGCTCCGTTTTGAGTGCTGAGATTCACAGCACTGCCAGTTCTACTGTTCACATCTGCTTCTCATGGGCACTGTCCTCTTCTTTGCCTTTTCATGGCTGTGTCCAAACACCTGGGAGAAGGACTTAATGGGGACGCGTTTCTGTCAACAGTTTCTGAGATTTCACTCCAGTCATTGGGTTCATCGATCCAGGGACCATAGTGAGATCAGAGAGCCAGCTGTGTGGGAGACAGGTAGCAGAGGCTGAGGAAGGGATTGGGGATGGAGTTAAAACTTCCAATATCACTCCTCTGCCTACTTTATCCTCCATCCAGCCTATCTGTGCAGGACATTCACTTACCGACCCTGACTCCTCACCTCTTCCTTCAGGCTTCCCTCTGGGCTCCACGGTGCAGTCTGAGACCAAGGGCATCTGGATGTGGTGTGTGCCACATCCCACCAAGCCAAAGCACACCCTGGTCCTCCTGGACACTGAAGGCCTGGGGGACGTGGAAAAGGTAGGCTGAGGCTCAGGCTGTCTTGAAAATTATTATGGTCCAGCCTTAATAATCTTCTTCCCAGGGGCTCAGAGGGAAGCTACAATCGGCGTGAATTATTTTTGGGGGTGGGGTGGGGTGGGGGTAGAATCTAAGTACACTGAACTCTTATTTCCTTCTACTTTATTCCTCAGGGATAACATTCTATCTACACAGCTTCTGTTCTGTTCTCAGGCCTAGCTCCTTTCTTGCCTGATTTCTTTCTACTTTTATCTGCTGTCTCCTCTAAGTTCTGTCTTAATTCTCCCATCTCAGTTCTGCCCCATCCTGGTCTTTCTCATCTCGTTCTTACCCATCTGGCTCTTTCTAATCTTCCATCTCATTCTTCTCCATCTAGTTCTCCAGTCAAAATCCTCCTAAGTCTCTTTACAGTTATATACCCATACAATAGCAAGGTCACCAGGCTTGAATTCTTACAGGGTCCTAAAGGCAGACGAGAGTTTTCCTCAGGCAGAGACCATCAGGTTTTCTTTTACAACCCAAAAGGGGAATGGTAAAGGAGGAGGCCAACTAAGAGCTAAAATCGGTTAATGTATCAGAAAAAGGGAATTTGCTCAAACTACATGCCTAGAGGTGATTAGGTAAATGTTAGGAGTCTATAATGTTAGTATAAATACCACTAAGGCTATATAAGAAAGGAGGGTCTGAGCTTAATTTACCTTAATTCAGGAGATCATTTGGCCTTGGATGCTTGATAGGTATTTCATTGTAGGAATCAGCTAATACATATACAAAAGCTAAAATATCACCAAGACTTCTTAAGCCTGGCTTGACCTTCGGAGAAGTCCTTGACCTTTCCAAGTAGTAGCTTTTGTGATAATAGCTGGATTCCATTACGTTTTCCTGCGGCTTCCAGCAGGACTGACCCTTATGACTTGTTGTCTAACGGACTGATCTATTCATGAATAGATCTAATAGTTCTACAACTGAAGGGCAGCAGGTGAGATGACACTGATCTCTTTAGATTTCACACTTAGATAATGTCAGATTTTTTTGGTTTTCTTTTTTGTTTGTTTTTTGAGACAGAGTTTCTCTGTGTAGCTTTGGAGCCTGTCCTAGAACTTGCTCTGTAGACCAGGCTAGTCTAGGATTCATAGAGATCTGCCTGCCTCTACCTCCTGAGTGCTGGGATTAAAGGCATGCACCACCACTGCCCAGTGGTCAGATGTATTATATTAGACGAAACATGCTTTTATTTCTTGCCATTTGGGTGAATGATTTGATTCAATCCAATAAAAGTTTACTTAGCAGTTAAATTCCTAGATTCTAGGCATAGTAGTTAGATATTAGTGAACAAAATAAAGATTTTCCCTTTCAAGAACCCTCTTAGTTTCACTGAGGATCCTACCTGTGTGTACTCTGATGTAGTCCAGCAACTGGAAAGAAGCAGGATGGAGAGAGGATGAGCTGTCAGGGAGCAGCCTCTGACCTCTGAACTCCAGGAAAGCTGGGATGGAAACTTTTGAGCTAGCCTTTGTTGGGTCAAGGTTACTGAGTCTTCATCTCTCCTGTCTACCCATGACTGGAAGTCTGCTCTGGAAACCTTTATCATTCAAAGTGCTGGCATTTGAGAGCTGTTACCCATCAGCACTCCCACAGCTAGAGGAACAAGGTCTTCCATTTTGAAAGGTGACCCAGGCACCACAGTGCTACTTCTACTAGGAGCTATTAGGTGGATGGATGCTTTGATGAGAAGGTGGATGACATCATACTAGGAGCTGTTAGGTGAATGAATGCTTTGATACGAAGGTGGATGACATCATACTAGGAGCTGTTAGGTGGATGGATGCTTTGATGAGAAGGTGGATGACATCATACTAGGAGCTGTTAGGTGAATGAATGCTTTGATACGAAGGTGGGTGACATCATACTAGGAACTGTTAGGTGGATGAATGCTTTGATGAGAAGGTGGGTGACATCATACTAGGCACAGGTAGGTGGAAAGATGCCTTGATGAGAAGGTGGGTGACATCAGCCCCTCTCAGTGGATTAAGAATGACTTCTGACCTGTCTTCTGAGATACCAAGGATACATTTTGGAAATGGGGTTAAGGAGTTAGGTTTACATTTTTAAAAGATATATTTTTATTGTGTGTAGTATTTGTGTCTGCCTGTGGTATATGCATGTGAGGACAGACATTCTTGGTGTTTAGAGGTCTTGGATTCCCTGGTGCTAGAGTTACAGAAAGTGAGATGCACCCTGATGTGTATGTTGGGAACAAAACTGAGGCCCTCTGGAAGAACAACAAGTGTTCTTACCACTGAGCTGTCTGTGCAATCCCTTGGGTTCACATTTCTTCTTTTATGGTGAAACTTATCGCATTTTTTTTTTAATGGTGAAACTGTTCACAGGGCATTCTGGAAGTTCTTAAGACAGCTGACTCTGTATGTTCAGTGAAGGTACATGTTTGTCCCACAATAACTAATTAAGATGAATTTGGCTTTCTTAAGTAAGTGAGTTGAGTGATCTAAAAATAATTATTGTTGAATGTGAGATATTATGTGGTACATGGTGTGCATCTGTGTGTGTATGTGTGTGTGTGTGTGTGTGTGTGTGTGTGCGTGTGTGTGTGTGCACATGCTACAACTCCTTCTACCTTCATGGGGGTCCAGACATTGAAATAAACTGTTGGGCTTGCACAGTAAGAGCCTTTCCACCCTGTGCCATCTTGCTGGCTGATTCATCCTTTATTCCTTCCCTTAGTTTAGACATATGAGAGAAATGTCTAAATTCCCAAGTTTTGCATTTCACTCCAGAGAGGCATTAGTAACACTGCATTTCTGTATTTGGATTGTGTCATTTATCACACTTTTCGAAGATTTATACATACTTGCTGTGAGCATCAGAAATATGAAGTAGGAATTTAGCTGACTATGGCAAAAGCTATTACCTGGAAGAGTTAAGAACTCTTTCAGAGGATAAAGCCAAGTCTTAAGGAGTCTTGGTGATATTGGCTTTTGAATATTAGCCATTTCCTGCAATGAATTTCTTGTGTGCTATTGTAGCTTTTCCATTCCTAGAACAGTGTGTTTGATGATTCATTAGTAACAGTTTCCTCTATACAATTAAGGTCTTTAGATAACATTTCCCAACTGTGCTAACAGCAGTCACACAGCCAGACCCCCAACTTCAGACCTTTCTGTAATTATTATCATTAGCAACATTCGGCCAGGACCTTTTCTGGACAAAAGTATCTTATCTGAGATACTTCCCAGACTTTCTAAGGACAGACTTCAGACAGATAAGCAGCCAGACTATCTGTTAGAGAAGCCTTGGTGGATGTGCTAATTAAGCTTAACCTTCTTTCTTCCAAGTGTTATCTCTAGACTTCCAATTAACTCAGAACAAAAAGGCTTTTACATACTAGGTATATCAGGCTGTGACACGGGTTGCCTAGTTACCTAGCTACACTTCCCCTGTCCTTCCAGAAAATGGGCAGCTGAGTTAAGCTGAGAGAGATACAGCTCCAAGAAATAAAGGCAGTGACTTATAGAATCCTAATATTTTACCTAACCACTTCTAAGAATATAGTTTAAGTACCTATATCCCCCTTTTCAGATCTATTAACGGAATTTAGCCTTTAGTTGGTTCTGTTCCTCATTAGTCACTTCCCTTTTGGGTTGCAAAGGATATCTGACAATTACAGCTCTTTGGGTGGATCTTATCACCTCTGTTTGAACCTGTAAGAATTCAAGCCTGTGTGACCTTGCCTTGGTCAGAGGATTGCTGCTTTGTATGGGTATATAACTGTAAGTCTCAGAGACTTGAGGGAAACTAGAAGAGAGGACTAGAAGAATGAGATGGAGGATGGGGAAGAACTAGATGGGGAAGACCTAGATGGGGAAGAACTAGATGAGGAAGATCTAGCTGGGGATGAACTAGATGAGGAAGAAGTAGATGGGAGAATTAAGACAGAATTTAGAAAGCACAGCAGAAAAATATAGAGAGAAATCAGCAAGAAAGGAGGTAAGTAAGAGAGTAGAATAAAAGTGTGTAGAGAGAACTGATTCAGAAGAATAAGTATATTGATTAAAGAGCTTCATGTACATAGATTCTTCAGCTGGTTGTTAGATTCTTCCACAGACTGTGGGGAAAGGGTATTGAGGGGCAGGACCCCAAGAGTCTTTGTTACATCCTGTTTCCAGTGACAGGCTTTCTCTCCTTTTAAATGCTGTCTTCGTGTTCCACCTCGTCTTTACCCACTCGGTCACTGAGAAGCATTTATATCCGTTCAACATTTTTGACTATTCTGAATAATGGTACAAGAGACACGGATGAGCCTGGCTCTTGAGGATTGTTCTCACTCCCTTGGATTTGCATTGTCTTATCTACTTTCTGTAACCAAATAACTGACAAAAAACAAACAGACAAAAACAAAAAAACAAAATCTGACTTAGAGGAGAAAGGGTTTGTTCTGACAGCTCCGGGGATTCAGCCCATCAACACAAGCAGCAGGAAGATGAGGCAGTTGGTCACATTTCATCTACAACTGTGAAGCAGAGGATTGAAGTCCTGTGTTTATTCTCTTCCTCCTTTTCCTTCAGCTTGAGACCCAGCCAATGGAGCAGTACCACTCATCTTTAGGACAAGTCTCCCAGGCAATGTAATCTAGATAACCCATCATAGAAATGCCCAGAGGTTTGTTTCCATGGTGATTTAAAGTTCCATCAAGTCAACAATATAGATTAACCATTCCTTATGTGTGGTGGTATTGTGCTCCCCAAAATATTGTGTACCTTAATAAACTTCTCTGGGGTCAGAGAACAGAAAAGCCACAAGATACTTAGGCTAGAAAATGTTAGCACACGCCTTTACTCCTAGCATTCCAGAGACAGAAATCCCTCTGGATCTCTGTGAGTTCAAGGCCTCATTGGAAACAGCCAGGCATGGTGACTCACGCCTTTAATCCCAGAAAGCAGCCTTTAATCCCAGGGAGTGGTGGTAGAAAGCAGAAAGGTTTATAAGGTGTGAGGACCAGAAACTAGCAGCATTTGCCTGGTTAAGCTTTCAGGCTTTGGAGTAACACAGTTCAGATGAGAGTCATTGGGATGAGGACACAGAAGCTTCCAGTCTGAGGAAACAGGACCAGCTGTGGAACTGGCAAGGTGAGATAGCTGTGGCTTGTTCTGTCTCTCTGATCTACCAGCATTGACCCCAATAACTGGCCTCAGGTTTGATTTTATTAATAAGACTCTTTAAGATTCCTGCTACACTTATGCATAGAAATGAGATCTCTGGATCATACAGATCTTCTATTTTTATTAATTTAGGAAACATTCTAATGGGCTCCATAGTGCTTATACAATCTATGTCCTATCCAAAGCACATAGTCCATTTTTTCTCTACCTTCTTCAAACCTTGTTGACTTTTGTATTTTTACTGATAGTCACCCTAAGATGTGTGATTATACTCCATTTCAATTTTGACTTCTAGTTCCCTAAAGATCAGTTATGTTCACTATCTGTTCATCAACTTATTAGTTACTTGTGTGATTTTATTTTAGAAAAGCATATTTAAGTTCTTTCACATATTCAATCACATATTGAATTTGTCTTTCTGTTGAGTTGCATGATTTTTTTTTATATATTTTGAATATGTAGCTTACAAACATTGATCTCCCATTCTGTTTGTATTTTTTCTTGGTTATTTCTTCTTCTGGCAAGGAGCTTTTTAGTTGGATTCCACCCTACTTCTCTAATTTTGATTTTTGTTTCCTGTACTTTTTGTGTCATAGCTAAAAATGCCATTGTCTAGATTCATGTTTAGAAACTAATTTTTCTTCTCATGGTTTTGTGCTTTCTGTTCATTTCTTTTGTAACTGAAATTCCATGAATTTTGTCCAATCTCTTCTGAAGTATCCCCTCCTCCAGACACTGGTAACCAGCATTTTGCTATTTCCATTCAACTTCTTAAGATTTGTATGTGCGTGGAATCTTTGTGGCATTTGTCTTTCTATGCCTGGTCATTCCACTTTCCTAGACGCTTGCCATGTTCATCTACGTGTTTATATCACAGGATTTCTTTTTTGCATGTCTGTATCAGAGGCCATTGCAAATGTACAGCATGTTTTCTTTGTCCATCCATGACTCCAGCTTGAGTGTCTGCCTTGGCAGTTGAGTACTGCCTTTGCACATGCACACTGGTGGGATTGCTATATCCATTTTCATATCTTAGCATTTAACTCTATATCATTTTGGCTGACTTTTGTGTATCGTGTGCACAGGATCTAACTCTACTTTTCTACATGTGGATGCCCTGTTTCCCCAGCACTATTTCTTGAAGACACTGTCTTCCTGCTTGTGTGTTTTTGACAGCCTTGGCAAAGATCAATTGATAGTTAATTCATGGAATTATTTCTGAGGCTCTTACTCCACCCTATTGGTTTATATACTTGTTTTGTTATTATCATATTTAAGGATACTCATTGACACAGGTTAATTATATAAATTAATGGGATTCACCATGATATTCTGAGACTGACACTGTCCATTGTGTGGTTATATATTGTGTACCCCAATTAAACTTATCTGGGGATCAGAGGACTGAGCCAGCCACTAGATTAGACATAGAGGCCAGACAGTGATGGCACACACCCTTAATCCTATTATTTGGAAGACAAAGATCTGGTGTCTCTGTACCTTGGTGTCTCTATATCTCAGCCCACATAAGATATGAAGTAGAAAGCTGTTCTTAGCTCAATTTTAGAACTTCTTTTTAAGTTCTTTCAAATTTTAGGTAGAAAGTCAAGCCAACACAATGGGCAGCCAAACGTATCTGGAAGTTTTCTCCAGTCTTGCCTGGCCCTGCAGTCTGCAGTTGCTTAGTCCCAAGTAAACACACAGAGGCTTATATTATTTATAAACTGGATGGCATATGGCTCAAGCTTCTCACCAGCAAGCTCTTGTAATTTAACCCATTTCTATTTATCTATGTTTTGCCACATGTTTCATGGCTTTACCTGCATCCCATTATATGTTGCTCATTGGGCAACTGGCTCATGTCTTCCTGGACTCTGCCTTTCTCTTTCCTGTCTCTCTTCTCTCCTGCCTACCTCTAAGCTGCCTTGCCATAGGCCAAAGCAGCTTATTTATTAACCAATAGGGACAATGTACATTCACAGCATACAGAAAGACATCCCTCAGCATTTCCACTTTGAGTTCAAGGCCATATTGGGAACAGAGCCAGGTATGGTGGCATATACCTTTAATCCCAACACTTGAGATCTCATGTCTTTGTTTGGGAAGCACACGCACCTCTTATCCCAGGAAGTAAGATAACAGGACACAGAAAGATATATAGGGTATAAGGAAACAGGAACCCACACTCTTGAGGCTGAGGATTTCGTAGAGATAAGAACTTGTAGCTGGCTTATTCTGTCTCTCTGATCTTTCAGCATTCATCCCAATATTTGGCTCTGAGTTTTTTAATTAATAAGACCTTTTAAGATTCTTGTTACACCATTGTCACCTCCTTTTCTTTTCTTATGGTATCTGTTAACAGCACTTTGGAAAGGTTTTTGAATAAACCGTACCGTTCTGGTTCCTGTAGCCCAGTAATTGTTTTAAATCAGTATGTGTGCGGCTGTTCTTGCTTAAGATGAATCTGGTTAAAGAGGGTATTTTATGACTCCACGTGAATTTTAGGATTTTTCGTTATAAAGAATGTCATTGGCATATTTGTAAGTACTTTGAAGCCATCTGTGAAGCAACAATCGTATTTTTAAAACTAATGTTCTGTTAGGACTTTGTTTCTCTTCTCTGCAGGGGCCTTGTCTACTCTGAACCTGTGCAGGCCTTGTGCAGGCTGTCATGTGAGATCATGTGTGGACCAGCACTTAAAGGCATGTGCTGTTGTTTGTTCTATTGCTCTTGGCCATTCTGACTATCGTAGGATGAAATCAGAAAGCAGTTTTAATTTGCAGTTCCCTGATGGCTGAGAAAGTTGAACCTTCTTCTTAGGTGTTTCTTAGCCTTTTGTGTTTCACTGTTTGAGAGCTCTCTGTTTGGTTCTCTATCCAAATTTTTAATCAGGCTATCTGTTTTCTTGATGTTCAGTTTTTGTTTTTGTTTTTAGTTCTTTATATATTCTGAATACTGACATTCTGGCAGATGTGTAACTGTTACAGACTTTTTCCTATTCATGAGATCCCATTTATTAATTGTTCTTAGAGTCTATGGGATCTTCTTCCTGTCAGAAAGTCTTTTCCTGAGCAAATGACTTCAAGCCTATTTTCTACCCTCTCTTCTATGTGATTCAGTTTGTCTTATTTTTACACTGAGGTCCTTGCTCCACTTAGAGCTCTGTTCTGTGCAAAGCGATACTGGTTCACTAAGTTTCTCAGGCCGACCTTGGATTCTTCCTCAATGCAGAAAAAGCACTCTTGCTGCCCCTGCTTTGGCCTTCAGAGTTCCTGGGATAACAAGGCCACTGGGCCAGTCCAGATAGACTCCTGAGGTGTACTCTCCTCAGCCCTCTGCCCTCCTGTGTCTTCCAGGGTGACCCTAAGAATGACTCGTGGATCTTCGCCCTGGCCGTGCTTCTGAGCAGCACCTTCGTCTACAACAGCATGAGCACCATCAACCACCAGGCCCTGGAGCAGCTGCAGTATCCTTGCAGGACCTGAGCCGCCATGTTTCATTGAGTGCTCTGGAATGCATATGGAGGCACTGACCTGCCCTGTCACTGTGTGGCTGTTGGTGGGGCAGAGGAGACCTGGGGAAGAAAACAGTGTTTGTTGTGGTTTATTTTTAATAAGAGAATCATGAGAATGTGTGTATGAACTCACTTTTCCTTAACCGAATGCCAGTTATGTCACAGAACTCACCGAGCTGATCAGGGCAAAGTCTTCCCCAAATCCTGATGGAATAAAGAACTCCACAGAGTTTGTGAGTTTCTTTCCAGACTTCATCTGGACTGTTCGGGATTTCATGCTGCAGCTGAAGTTAAATGGAGAAGACATCACAGAGGACCAGTACCTGGAGAATGCACTGAAACTGATCCCAGGTACAGGGAATGCTGGGGTGGGGGGCTGGGAAGGGCTGGGATCTGCTGAGCTGCTCCCATCCTCTGTGGGGTCCTTTTGTATTTGCAGTGGGATGGAGATCTGCAGGAACTCTGATAGGTCATTGGCTGATAATGCCTGGGAACTGGTGTTTAATTTCTGTTGAGAAAAGTAGAGCCTAGAGCACAGCAAAATCATTCAAAGCCAAGTTCTTTACAGTTGTACTTTAGCATCTGGAGTAAAAAGCTTCTAAGCTTCTCCATGTCCAGACATTTGTATTGCCTGTTTTGTGTCTGCCTTCCTTTAAGAAATAGTTGGCTCCATAATTCTTACTCATAAATTTATCATACATAGCCCATCTCAGAATATATTTCACATTGTTTACATTATTCTTCTCATGGAGGAACAAGGTTGTTTTTAATGCTGGATTGGTTATGTTGTCTGCAAAAAGCTGTGTTCTAAGTAAACTGACAGATGTGTCTTTTCAGTCTATGCCTTCTCAGTATTCATCTTAATTCATCACAACAGTTTATTTTTATTCATGCTACAGTGTCAGGATCAGTGATATTAATGGTCTATAAACTATTTGCATGGACATTATTTTCCCGAGTGTGAAGCTGATGAAGCCTTGTGAGGAATGGCAGTTCTGATTTTTTCACTGCTTTCATTTTTCTGTCTTTGCTGTCTGAAAACGTTAAGAACATAGCAGGTGGGAAAGCAGCCTGTGGAACCAGTACTCACAGTCCTAAAGTTACATCTGAAAATAAAAGTATCCAGCCCAGGACACCCCAAGACGAAGTTCTCAGCACAAAGAAGATTTATTTGCCCCAGAGAGACAAAGGGCAGGAATAAGAGACAAAGACAGGAGACAGAGGATGAGGGAGAAGGGGAAGGGAACAAGGGAGAGGGGTAAGGGGCACTTGTTCCAGAGGACACAGGACTGCCTCTGTGCCACAAGCTACAACAATATGAACTAGTAGGATTTCAGCTGATTATGACAAGCTAATACCTGGAAGAAGCCAAGGGCCTTCCAGAGGTCAAACTGAGGCTCAAGGAGTCTTGGTGATATTGGCTTTTGATTACTAGACATTTCCTGCTATGAATTTCTCATGTGCTATTGTAGCTTTTCCATCATTTATTGGGCACTATTTCCCCTCTACTAAAGGAATACTTAGATAACCTTTTGTGTAGTAATGCAGCCAGAATCCATAATTTCAGACCTTTCTGTAATTATCATCATTAGCAGCATCTGGACAGGACCATGCCCGGATATACGAAAGTATCTTATTAGAGATACCTCTGTACTCTCTAAGAACAGACTTAAGCATCCAGACTATCTGTTTGAGAAGGCCTGGTGGATGTGCCAATTAAGCTTAACTTTCTCCTTTCCAAAGTCTTATCTCTAGTTTTAGATCCACCCTTAACAATTAACTCAGAACTAAAGGGTTCCAGCTTACAGGTACATCTAGCTGTAGTGAAAGTTGCCTAGTGACCGAGCACACTTCTGCCTTGCCAGAAACTGCGGGAGCAGAGATAGCTTAGAGAGATAAAGGCCAAAGGGATAAAAGGCAGTTTTATTTTCAGAGCAAGGGCAGAGAAGAATAAAGAGAATGGAGATGGGTAAGAACTGGAGAGGAATGAACTGAGATGGGGAAGAACTAGATAGAAGAGAACTAGATTAAAGGGCTAGAAGAGAGAACTAGAGGAATGAGATGGAAGATGAGGAAGAGCCCTAGGGGAAGAAGAAGATGAGGGAGAAGGTGACGGGTGAGGAGCTAGATGGGAACGAACTAGACAGACGAGAAAGACCAAGATGGGGCAGAACTAAGACGAAGGAATTAAGATAGCACATAGAGAGAAGAGCAGAAAGGTGTAGAGAGGATCAGGCAAGAAAGGAGCTAAGTGAGAGAGCGGAAAAGAAGCTATGCAGAGATAGAACTCAGAAGAATAGAGTGTATGGACTAAAGAATTTGTGTGCATAGAGTCATTTAATATCAACAAAGATTAGATTATCAGCTGGTTGTAGATTCTTCCCAGGCCCTGGGAGGGGGCTTTTGAGGGCCTGGACCTCCCAAAACCTCGATATTTCTGCATAGAGGGGAGACAGACATGACCCATAGACAAATGAGTTTATAAAGGTAAAAGGGGAAACCCCATATTAGGATGAAGTGTTTAATTTTAATTGGGCATGTTAATTAGGTGAGCCAAAGGGGGCTTGTGATTGTTGGGCTTCAATACATTGATAGCTGGACCTTGGTAGTTGGTCATTCAGGAGGAGGAAATGGCCAAAATAGGGAATAGACCTTGGTGGCTAGCTTTAAGAATGTAGTCTGAAGGTCTTTAGCAAGGCAGAGGGAATGGCAGAAGGGAAAGGCCTGCCAGAGCCATGCTCACCACACTGGCCAGAGTCCTTTCACTATGATCTTCTATTATTGCTTATTTTTAAACAAGATATCACAAAGTAGCCCTTAGCCAGCCTGGTATTCACTATATAGCCCAGTCTAGGCTAGCCTGGAATTCAGTTTCTCCCGACTTTGCCTCCCATGCACTGGGATTGAAGGTGTATGCTACCACCCAGCTTTCCTTTCCTCTTTTCCTTCTTTCCTTCTTTCTTCCTTCCTTCCTTTCTTTCTTTCTTTCTTTCTTTCTTTCTTTCTTTCTTTCTTTCTTTCTTTCTTTCTTTCTTTCTTTCTTTCTTTCTTTCTTTCTTTCTTTCTTTTATACAAATTTGGTTTATTTGTTTGTTTGATTTTCTTTTTGATTTTTTTGAGACAAGATCTCACAGTGTAGATTTTGCTTGCCTGGAATGCCCTATAGAGACCATTGTAGCTTCAAACTCATCAAGATCCTCTTCCATAATTTTTGATAAAAAGGTTGACAGTACTGTATGCAATTTTCAGAATACAATTATTGTTCTACTTGAATGTTGTAACTGGATGTGGTAGAACACATGTAGGTACTGGGGCGGTTACTCCAGTGAAGCGGATGGTACATCTATCATCTCATATTGTTAATTTTCATGAAATGAACAGTCAAAATGGATTCAATAAAAATTCCTAATGCATGAGCTGGGGAGATGACTTGGTGCTTAAAGCACGTGTCACTCAAGTGTGAGGACTGGAGGTACGATCTCCAGAACTTACATAAACGCAGGGTGGTGGGGCGGCTACCCCCAACCCCACAGCTCCCCAGAGTTTTCTTGAGTGAGAGTAGTAGGAAATATTAGATAGAAGGATTTAGAGTGTGGAAATAAACAGATGGAAAATACAGGATAGCTTTGAGAGGGCCTGGAACCTATTCCAACCAGCCCTGGTTGTCTCTGCCCTCGTGTATAGAAATGCCAAGGGGTGGAGCAAAAGACCTTTCCCCAGCACAGCCAAGTGCAGACCATCTCAAACACCTGCACTCAGGCCCGTGGTCCAATCATCCTCTCTATGCAGACCTGCTGGGTAAAGCCACTAGGAACCTGAAAATGGGCTCCCCACACTGGGTGGGTATGATAGTCTACCTCTAATCCAGTGCACAGGCTGAGGACACAGGATAGTGCTGGAGCATGCTGGCTAGCCAAGCTGGTTGTACTGGAGAGTTCCAGTTTGACGTGAGAAACCCTGCTTCATTGAAAAGGTGGAGACTGGTTGAAGAGGACTCCTAAAGACAACATCTGGCTTCCCCATGTAGACACATGCATGTGTCCTCTCACACACATATGCCCAGACACAGGCAAACATGCATACATACACCACACATATCCACATGAGAGAAAGGGAGAAAATCCCCAATATGGCAGTTTCCTGAAGTACTGTCTGAATGTTGCACATCAGGTCTCTAGACTCACGTATCCTCCATATGTTCAGAGTCCCACCTTCCCTCCCCAGCTGTGAAGAACTTTTATTTTCAATGAGTGCATATTTGGAATTCACAAAAAACGAATTCTTTCAGCATCAAAGTAGTTTTCCTTCAGTAACCATGGCATCGTTCTTAGAATTGCTACTGTTGCTATTTCTAATACTCTATTCCCCTTTATTTGTGGCTCTTCTTTTGGGTCCCACAGCTCCTTTACTACAAAGGAATGATTGGGCCAGAAATCACATTCAGCCTTTTGCCGTTCGGTCAGCAGGACACACCACTACTTGATGCCATGTTCAGGATTTCATGGTCAATCATAAGCTCTTCCAGTGGAGTCAAGTGTCTCCTGAAATATTTCACCAGACTTCTACCAAGTACAAACTTGGTATACTTTTGACATGCAAAGAAGTGTTGCATGTTTATGGTAAAGAGATGTGTATGGTAAAGAGACCTGTGAGTGCAGAGCCCTTCACATAGACAAGAGCCTCCATCATTTTCTCTCTGCTCTAAGACTATTCCCGTTGCTTTCTCTTTCCCCCGACACTAGGCAACAATCCCAGAGTCCAAGCATCCAATTTGCCCAGGGAGTGCATCCGACATTTCTTTCCTAAACGGAAATGTTTTGTCTTTGACCGGCCAACGGATGACAAAGAACTCTTACAAAAAATTGAGACTATCTCAGAAGACCAGCTGGATCCTAAGTTCCAGGAACAAACGAGGGCTTTTGTTTCTTACGTCTTCACCTATGCAAAGATCAAGACCCTCAGAGAGGGAATTACGGTCACTGGGAACCGTGAGTGGTTTTTTTTTTTTAAACACACTTCTGTATAGAGCAGTATATGCTGAACTTACTAGCGTTTGTATGTTTTTAAAAATTATCTATACAATGATAATGTGCTTGTGTCTCTACTCTGAACAATCTACGTGTTTTATAATTAATTACAGATTACAAATCCTTCTTTAGGAATGCAGACTTCATCACTAGTATCTATTGCTGTAACATACCTATATAAAATTCACGACTGATAATAAAATCACTAGGGAAAAGGTAGTTAATCAACTATAAAATCAGTGTTCAAATCACTAAAGCTGATATATTCTATTTTCATGGGGGATGTCTTGTATATTAATTATTCTTTAGAATAAAAATGTGAAATGTAATTTGGAAATTTTAATAGTTTCAACATAAATACTAGTGTTTAAACCATGCAAATCCATACTTTAAAGAAATAATATGATATATTTTTCCTTGTTATACAATCTGTTTTCCTTGTTGATATAATCTATTTTCCTTTGAAGATTTAAATGCATAATTATATTTTTCATAGATAGCTGAATTTATTAGGTGAAGATTGATATTAATTTTTAACATTGTGAACTAGAAAACCACAAAAACAAAGGGACAATAAAAAAAATTGTTGGCTTGCTGAAGGAGGTGTGTGTGTGTGTATGTATGTGTGTGTGTGCATGTGTAGCTGTGAGAGATTCAGAAATGGAGTCATAAAATCTTGGATCCCATTCACTTATAACTTCATATTTATCCCCTAAAACTCCTGGCTCGTGAAGGACTGGGGACTCTGGTGACGACCTACGTGGATGCCATCAACAGTGGAGCTGTGCCTTGTCTGGATGATGCGGTGACAACTCTGGCCCAGCGTGAGAACTCAGCAGCTGTGCAGAAGGCAGCTGACCACTACAGTGAGCAGATGGCCCAGCGACTGAGGCTCCCCACAGACACGCTCCAGGAGCTGCTGGGTGTGCACACAGCCTGTGAGAAGGAAGCCATTGCTGTCTTCATGGAGCACTCCTTCAAGGACGAAAACCAGCAATTCCAGAAGAAGCTGCTGGTAATGTTTGTGTCCTTAACTGTCATAACTCTGAGATCCCTTCAAGACTGTAGTGCTGCTGCACCTTCGTTAGCCATGGGTGCATGTCTCATTCAAAGATAAGCATGCTGTATGTTCATAATGAATAGAGTTGTGAAAGACTGCATGTCTTCTCCCCAAACTCCAGGTGCTTTTTATCCAGAAATCTCAAATGGCTGGAATAATGAATATATAGTGTACTAAGTCCTTCACCCAGTTAATGTTTGTGGCTTGCGAACCTGCCCAGAACACTGATAGTTCATCCCTGAAGAGCTATATTCTTCGGTTCCTTCGAAACAGTTTCTCACTGCAGGCCACTGTTCATCTGTTGTGCCTTGTTGTATCGTTGTGTCATTGAAGACAGATTACAGGATGTGACACTCACAAGTAACCAGAGATTGTGGGATGCAGAACCATCCTTTTACAGAAGGTCTTGAGGGCTAGGAGCTTCAGGAACATTCACTGTGGTCTTGCACAGATTTTTTAGCATCCTAATCAGGATCTATCATTTCCCATTCACTTGTGGCCTTCTTACACTAGAATACCTTCCCCTGGGAAATGGGCTGAGTCTTCTACAAAGTTTCTTGGAATTTTATCTCTTCTATTCCTTCAACACGTCAGATCTCTGTACATTTCCCTTGTAGGAATTAATAGATGAGAAGAAAAGGATTTTCATGTTGAAGAACGAAGAAGCATCAGATAAATACTGCCAGGAAGAACTGAGTCGACTTTCAAAGGCTTTGGTGGAAAATATTTCAATGTTTTCTGCTCCTGGAGGACACAGGCTCTACATGGAAATGAGGGAAAAGATTGAACGTGACTATTGGCAGCTGCCCAGGAAAGGGGTTAAGGTGAGGAGCAGGGAGCATGAGGAGGGGTGAAGGTGAGGAGCATGGAGCACCTATGCTCAAAGCAGAGGAAAGGTGGTGTCATAAACCATGAGCACACAGTACTGCTCTAGAGAAATAAAACACCATGAGGATAGCATGGCACAGCTTCATATCGGAATTGGTGACCAAAACCAGGCCTTTGCAATGCAAGTCAAATGCTTTATTCTCAAGCCCATCACCAGGACCATGCTTGGCTCAAAATGGCTGCTATTTACTATTAATTCTTGGAAATATTTACATGCAAATTCTGAGAAATAATTTTGTGAGTCTGTCAGGATGGTCTATCTATGAGCAGCTAGTAAATGTAACAACACAACAAACATATTACTTGGTTTTGCCAATGACACCATGGTGAGTTCTTTCCTTAGACCTTTCTTTAGTTATCTAAAATGCTTTGGGTGATGCCCACCATTATTGTGGACAGTTTTCACATCTGAACCATGAGGCCCAGGCAGGTGAAGTGACTTGCCCATGAACACATGCAGCAAGAGCAGAAGGAAGTGAAGCCCACACAATTATGCAGCATTTTACACTGGGATACACTATTTGAAAGCATCATAGGTGGCAATGAGCACATCTGCACATGATGTGGACAGGCTGAATCTGGGAGCAGGTGGAGGCAGGTGGCACTAGCGGGGATGACTGGGGGAGTCGTGGATCAGGAAGTATCTAGTTCCACTGAAGAGCATGGGCAGTCTGCAGGCTTCACCACAACATTTTAACAGTGAGGCACAGTGGAGATTGTGTTCACCCACTCAGGTACTCCCCCAGGACTTATCGAGGTTCTGTGCTCCTTCTTGGTCCTGCAGGCAAGTGAAGTCTTCCAGAGCTTTCTGCAGTCACAGGCCACCATTGAGAGTTCCATCCTGCAGGCAGATACAGCCCTCACTGCTGGGGAGAAGGCCATTGCAGGTAGAGGAGCATGTGTCTTGGCTTTTGGGAGGGGTCAGATTCCCCAAGGCTTCCTGACAGAAGCCCTAGTAAACCCATCCCCAGATTAGCAGCTTTCTATCCTTCTGTGGATGCTCACTCTGAGAAGAACAGAAAGTCTGGTCTGTGCTTCAGCCAGATGGGCAGGGGCTCCTCCATCACCCTAGACATACTCTCTCCATGGCGTGGACCAGTGTGGAGTCTGTGGCTTCCTTTCAGATTTGAATTGCTCTCTGGGCTCCGGAATGTAGATGTTTTTCCTGGCCCCTCACTTTCTTCATCCATCCACCCTGAATCTCCATCACTTTCTTCCCATGACCCATCATGAATCTCTATTATTGAATTCCCAGGGGTCCTGTGGATTTCACTACGTCCAGCATAGGATATCTAAGGGGAAAAAAATCTACGTATTTCACTACGTCCAGCATAGGATATCTAAGGGGAAAAAAATCTACACTATGTTCTTATATCTGTTAACTTTATTCCTCTAGGACAAAATTCTATCAATACAGCTATAGCTCCATCAAGCATTCAGGAAAAGAATAAATCTAGATACACCAAGCTCTTTATCCATCTAATTTATTTCTCTGGTCTGAAATCCTGTCTACAGAGCTTCGGTTCCATCCGGTTCCCTCTCATAGTCCTGCTAATGACTGAGTTCTTATGCTTCCAGCCTCATCTTCGTCCTCTGTTTCCTCATTCTCCATCTCTACTACTCTCTACTCCTGGTACTGATGGACTCTACAAGAGTTCTGCCTTGCCGTCTACAAAACCTCTGTCTTCCTCTCTTCACTCTGGCCATGCTGTTCTATCCACCTCTACAGAAAATGCCTGTCCTTTAACTCCCTGGCCACATGGTTCTCTGCCTCCTCAGGAATGTTGCTCTACCTTCCACCTTGACATGTGAAAACCTCTTTTGTTCTCAGTCAATTTCTCTGGAGAGCCACTAGGCCTGGAGGCAGGGGAATGATCTGAGCTTCATTTGCACAAGAAGTAAAGCTATACTTCTCCAGCCAGCTTGTCTCCTAGACTCAGAGGGGAGTTAGTTACCTAGAAGTTCAGCAGGTCTGGAAATATTTGGGCATGCAAGAATTTTGTAGTAGAAGACAGCTGAAATATTAAAAGCTGTATATCACCAAATATTCATAATAAATGGCTTGCCTTTTGACAGACCCTTGGCTAGTCAAAATATAGCTTTAATATACAACTGAATCGCTTTAATATATTCTTGTGGCTTGCCACACTCCATCACTTTCTTCCCCATCCATCCCGAATCTCCATCACTTCTTCCCCATCCATCATGAATCTCCATCACTTTCTTCCCCATCCATCCCGAATCTCCATCACTTCTTCCCCATCCATCCCGAATCCCCATCACTTTCTTCCCCAACCATCCGGAATCCCTCACTTTCTTCCTCCATCCATCCTGAATCTCCATCACTTTGTTCCCCCGACCATCCTGAATCCCCATCACTTTCTTCCCCAACCATCCTGAATCTCCATCCCTTTCTTCCCTCCCTGAATCTTCCTGGGACAGAGGAGCGGGCCCAGAAGGAGGCGGCTGAGAAGGAACAGGAGCTGCTAAGACAGAAGCAGAAGGAGCAGCAGCAACTGATGGAGGCTCAGGAGAGAAGTCACAAGGAAAACCTAGAGCAACTGAGAACGAAGCTGGTGCAGGAGAGAGAGCAGCTCATCAAAGACCACAAGATGATGCTGGAGAAGCAGCTGCAGGTGGGTCTCCTCATCACCCTGGTGGTCCTCATACCCTGGGTAGCAGGACAGAGTTTGTAGCCAGGTCATGAGAGGAAACACCACCAAAATGTATTGTTGCTAAGGAGGTTCCCCTCCCCTCAGGTTTTCAGTTGCTCCTTTAGGGTTTTAATTACTGTAATAGTTTGATTTACTGATTCAGGCTATTTAAAAAGGAACTCATGAGGATTCACTAAAGAAAATCCTCAACTAGGCAGTTTAATGAGGCCAGCAATGGGTCTGGGTTATCCAGGCCCAAATTATCAGGCAACTGACACACACACACACACACACACACACACACACACACACACACACACACACACCCATTGGAGGATGATCTGTGCAGACATAAAAATGAAACAAATGTCCAGACTGAAAAGCACAGGGAATCAGCAGCTTCTGCGGGTTCTGTAGCCGTCTCCAGGGTGGACAGCATGCTTGGAGCAGCACATGGCATTGGAGTGATTCTCTCATTGCCCAGCTGCAAGTAAAACGGTAACAGATTTCTAAAACAACTGATAGGTTGCCACTGTCTGTGTGATATGGTTGCTAAACCATCTCAGTGGTTTGAGCTCTGCACACCCCGACCAGTGTCACTTCAGTGGGCGTGAGTGTAGCAATGTCTTCACACCTCTGCTAGCATGACAGCCCAAACAGACAGGATGGATCAACATCAGTGAAGTGTCAACTATCCTCCCTCACAATGTGTAGGCCTAACTCAGTGGGTCATCTTCATGGTAAGGGAACTCATGTCGGGCCACACTAAGGACCACTTGCTAAAGGCTTGAAACTGTAACTCGTACAATGTTGGGATTTTACACTGTTTACCCCTCTCCCATGTTCACTGTTTAGAATCAGAAGGCTTTGCTTGAAGAAGGGTTTAAGAAGAAAGCTGAGGAAATGAATGGAGAAATACAGCGATTGAGACATAACGTCGAGGATATGAGAAAAAACAGTGGTTCCGTTTTGGACAAAATTCTAGGAGGATTTGCTACAGTGATTTGTGCTCCTGCTTTATTGATTACAGAGGCTGTAAGAGGCATTGCTTCACTATTTAAATAGAATTCACTCTTCTTTTGATGAAATGATAGATTGTGAATATCTACTTTGTCTTTTTGTTTTGAAGCTTCGTGTTTTTATCTTCATTCAGCAAATTTAAACATAAAAAGTGCTTATTAGAGGACATCTATGCCTGCACCACAGTAGACAGAACATATGTATACATGTTTGCACAGACAATGTTTGCTTTTAGGGAACAAATTTTTGAAACCATTCATATGTAAGCTATGTAATTAGTCATTATACATGGTGACAGTTACTGTTGGTCAACTTGACTGGATATAGAATCATCCAGGGGACAAGCTCTTCTGCATCCTGTGAGGACTGTCTCAGCTAGGTTAGTTTGTGGGGGATCACAAGCTCTTCTGCATCCTATGAGGACCATCTCCACTAGGTTAGCTTGTGGGGGATCACAATCTCTTCTGTACCCTATGAGTACCATCTCAACTGGGTTAGCTTGTGGGGGATCATCTCAAGTTACTATGATGGGGAACACATCTGAAGTGTGGGCACCACTGTTCCTGTGGACTGGGGACCTAGTTAAAAGGTGAGAGAAAGCTGGGCACTAACGTCCACCACTTGTGGCTTCCTGACTGTGGATGCCATGTGATCAGCCAGCCTCCACTTCTTTCAGCATGCTTTCTCCAACATGCTCAATGTATCATCTGGAACCATGAAATAGAACAAACCATTTCTTTCTTATCTTGCTTTTGTTGGGGTGTTTTGTCACAACAAGAAGAAAAGTTATTGATATTGTCATAATGGTGATACATTAGGAAACTACTTAAACATCGTTGAATCAGATTGATAACTAATTTTAATATGTCTGGATCCTAGATTACTATACAGTCAAGAAACAAATGTCAGTCAAGCTTTCTGTATACTAATGTAAATTAAGCTTAAAGATTCCTTATAAAATAAAGTGAAAACACCATATAATAGTGTGCTTATTATTAAAAAATGCTACTATCCCATGCAAATGCACAGGAGTGCAAATGAAGTGCCTTCTGGAAGACTCATGAGAAACCTGATCCTTTGGCTTCCTCTGGGGAGAGCAAGTTGGAATTAGATGTTGATGGGCACATGCATGTCATTATATACTGTTTATAGGTTTCATGAAGAATTCTGGGAAAACAATGTGTTTACATTTTAAAAGAGCAGTAAGTTAAAATTCACTATTATATGATGAAACTTTTGTTTTTAGAAATGGCAGAAGCTTTTAGAAGACAGTTAAGATGAGGACCTGAGTGCCAAGAAGTATAATGTTGCCATCTTAATGCTGTTTTTTTCTTTGTGGCTTTTAAAAAATAATTTAAATAATACATTTTATCTAACCCAACATATCAAAATATTACTTTCACAGGCAGTCAATATAATTTATGTGTGCCATTTTTATATTATATTTATATATTTGCAAAGTAAGAGGGAAATTGTATTCAAAGAGAAATGATAGTATAGAGTTTAAAGGATTCATGGAGAAAGTGAGAGGTGGACATCTCAGAGATGGCTCAGTGGTCAAGAATGCACACTGCTCTTCCAGAGAAGCTCAGTTAACAACATCCACATGGGGTGACTCACAAATCCCTGTAATTCCAGCTCCAGGGGATCTGACTTCCTTTCCTGGCCCCCAAGGGCACCAGTACTCCCATCACATAACCCTTACACATACACATGCTTAAAATAATTTTTAAAACAATACACTGTCAAGATTGACAATAAGCCATATGAGTGAAGATACTCAAGGACCCTTACTACTGCATATATGAATACAAAGTATTTAGATTATATCTATTCCCCCTCCAACTCCTCTATGATGCCCTCAAATTCCATTCCCAACTTCACAGTTTCTTCTTCCTCCTTTTCATCCTCCTACTGCTCCTCTCCCCCCTTTTAATATCTGAACCAATTGGTGCTGGCCTCAAGTCCACGGGTATAGAACACCATCGATTAGAGCTGGACAACTTATTATGAGCCACACTCTCATAGAAAATACATTCTCCCTCTGTCAGTGGCCAGCTCCCAACTGATAAGGGTTCCTCAGCTAGGGGTGGGGTCTCTTGAGCTCATTGCCTCCCCCTGCTGGAGTGTCAACTGACTTGACAGTATGCATATCTTGTGCAAGCAACTATAGCTACTGTCACAGCCCCATCATGTCCAGAAGATATTTTGAAACAACATGGTCTTATTTTAAAATACTTACATTTATTTCAATATTCTGGTGTAAACATCCCCATGACTTCTGGAATTTTAGAGAAGTTTACTTTCTCTCTCTCAATTCCTTGTAAGATATCATATTTAAAAAAATGAATTGTGTGAAGTAAAGATCTTGTTGCTGTTTAATGTAGTAACTTCTCTGAGGTGGCTAGAAATGTGCTTTTTCAGAACTAGATCACTTCATGGGGAATGAGATTTGCAGACACAGGAGTATTCAGAAAAAGTAAAAAGTTTGACCAAATATATTTTCAGCTGTGGACCTGACAATTTAACACATAAAAATAAACATCAGGCCCTGTGACTATTTGGCATCTCAGTTTGGTTCCTGAAAATGTTTTGGGAAGAGTGGAACTACAAGAGTTGAGAGATCCACATGCTGGTTGTTCAATCACGTGGATGTTGAAGTCACTGTAAATGACAATAGTAGTTATGGGAAGAAAGATGGAACAAGTCTAAAGTCAACCACCAAGGAGAGAAATGAGGGATAGTGACCTTGCTGAGGAAGACATGATAAAGGGGAATGGATATCTATGATGGTTGAAACCGTTCAAGGAGAGGAGAGAGTTGGAAAGTGGGAAAGCAGAGCAGAGGGGCTCCTACCTCGTGTTTAGTTCCTAAGATGGAAGGAAGGCAGAATTTCCAAGGTCTGTTTAGATAATCTTCAGAAAGCAAAACCATCATGGACCAAGAAGATTCTGTGTCCCAAATCCACAAGAAGGAAGTGTGCTGTGATGGATGCTTCCCAAAGGCACAGAGAAGGCACTTGTGAAAGGTCTACCTAACTTCAAATATGTCAGTCTTTGAAAACGTGGGAGGTGGACACATTGTGAACCTCAGCGCATCCCTAGAGGTGTCACTAGTTCTCAAAAAATGTGCATTCTACATCTCAGTCACACACACACACACACACACACACACACACACACACACACACACACACAGACAGACATCTTTACAGAGAAACTTTGTTGACTACTGGGATGGTAAGCAAAGACCATCTCCAACTAGGTTCCCAGCAGCTGTCTCTAAGAATGTGTAGAAGGAGTTTTCCTGTGTCTACCCGGCTCCTGCAGCTGCTCAGACCCAAGTAAACACACAGAGACTTATATTACTTGTAAACTGTATGGCTGTGGCAGGCTTCTTGATATCTAGTTCTTATATCTTAAATTAACCCATTTCTATTAATGTATAAGTTGCCATGTGGCTTGTGGCTTACTGGTACTTTTACATTTCACTTCCTCTGTGTCTGGCTGATGACTCTTGACTCAACCTTACACTTTGCAGAATTCTCCTCTTTGCTTATCCCGCCTATACTATGCTTCCTGCCTGGCTACTGGACAATCAGCGTTTTATTTATAAATCAGCCAGAGCAATACATTCACAGCATACAGAAAGACATCTCCAGCAAAAATGAAGTAGGCAGATAAGCATGTTTCACTTTATTTTATTACTATTCAGTGGACATAAAGTCCAACTGGACATCTGTTGGTCACCCCAAGAAATAAGTGCTGCTTATTGAAGTACTGGGGTTATACTACCTGGCCAGCCATGGTAGTGATCATGTGATAAATGGATATATTAAATGGAGTTATGCCACATGGGATAGTAATGGCGACACCTCAAGGTTATAGACAGTCTAGCAAAGGTGTTTCATTTCTAACTCTGGTTTAACAACTTTAAATGGAATAAAACCTATTGCCACATGGGATTCCATGATTCATTTGGAGTGGATTTGAATTCTTGTTAGGAGTGGATGTTAGCAGAGATCCATTACTACTCCGAGAAGTGTGATAGCATCACAGGTCTCTGAAGCAGTAGATCTGGATCTTTGTGAATGAATTCTTGTCTGTAGACAACAGGAGTAGCAGCAGAGGCTGAGGAAGGAGCCAGTCCTCTGTCCTGCAGCTGTAGGACAAGTCCTGAACACTGGCTCCAGTGAGCTGCAGGCAGACACCTTAGGCTAAGGGATCCTTTGTCTAGGTTTAGTCTGTACCTCATCGGTCTTTTTTTCTAAAAAATTACATTTCTTTATTCATTTATGTTCATGGATGTGTGCACACATGTCATGGTGTATGTGGAGGTCAGAGGACAGCTTTCAGGGTCAGTTCTATACTTCTGCACATGGATCCCAAGGATTTGAACTCTGGTCTTCAGGCTTGGCAACAAGTGCATTTCCCGCTACGCTATCTTGCCAGCCCCTTCTGGTCAGTTTGAAGGCAGGCTTCCTTCTTTTTGTCCTCCTGTCACCATCCACTCTCCTGTCTGAAACCCAAATTCATAGGACATCAGCTGGGCCCAGATTGGCTGAATGTGAACACAGAAAGAAAGGAAGACCAATCAGGGAATACTGTACAAGCCTGAGCCCTGTGCAAACACTTAACTTGTCAAAAGTTTCTACCAGTTCTGGGTGCTGCTATGGTCCTTACAGCCTGGTGCCTGGTGCCTGGTGCCTGGTGCCTGGTGCCTGACGCTTCCTTCAGGAGTTTGTTTCTTAGGCTATGGCTGCTGCTGCTGCACTAACACTAGGCTATCTGCAGTCTCTTGAGGAGCTGGAGCCTTCTTCAAACATCCTTACTGTCATTTATTTCTCCACTCCTCCTCTCCCTCCTGTGTTACCTTCCCTCTTTCTTCCCAGTTAATTGCACACCGTTTCTCACATTTCTCTCTTTATAGCACTGGTCCTACTGCCCTTCTCTCTAGAGCTAGAGCTCTTCCCTCACATTCCTCCCATATTACTTTTGAACTTTTTGGTTTCTGAAGTTGCTTCAGGTTATATTCTTCTAAAGAACTGGAGCTAGGGTCCAGCAGTAAGAGAGAACGTGTGGCATTTGTCTTTGTGTGTCTGGATTATCTCACTTAGAATAATGTTTTCCGGTTTCATCCATTTACCTGTAAATTTCTTTAATTTTTTTTGCAGCTGAATAGAATTTTATAGTGCATATGGACCAAATCTTTATTATCTAGTCATCAGTTGAAGTGTGGGTCTCTAGGTTGGTTTCATTTCCTAGCTATTTTGAATAAGACCAAGTATCTCTCCAGTAGGCTACTGAGTCCTTTGAATCTATGCAGAGGAGCAAAATAGCTGTACCATGTGGTATTTTTTATTTCTATTTTTTAGCTTTTGAGATTTCTCCACACTGATTTCTACAGTGGCAGCACAAGTTTGCAATCCCACCAACAGTGAATGAATATCTTCTAGACCTGATTGGAATGTTGCACCCCATGACAGAACTATGATGACAGTTTGATTTCTCCTTTTGTCTTACTTATGCACTTAGGGTCTTGGATGCCTGTATCTACATTCATTTTCTCTGCCATAGTCACTCCAGATTTCCCATTCCATCTTCAGTGGATTCTGCTGACTTTCAATTCATTGTGAACCTGGTAGTCTGGATTGGGCCTGGACCCGGTGTTTTTTCCAGATATTTGGTTTACTATTTTGGCATTTGGAGAAGTTGGAATTCATGAACCTATAAAGTGTTATTCTTATGTAGTCATGATGAAGACAGATATGTTTCCTTTAGAACTGTGTTTATTTTAATTGCTTATCACATGATAAAGAATTACATTTCTCTTCTCGTGGGCTGGAACCTGCTCTTGTTCCACTGTGACTGTTGCAGCAGAATGAATGGATCAAGGTGACTCTTGGCTATGACATCAGATCCGGCTCATATACAGGATCTTAAAATAATCAGGCTATTTCTAGAAATATTTAAAGTTTGGATGCCATTTT